CCGCAGATGAAGAGATCTCGAGCTGCAAGGAGGTGGCAGTGGAGACGACGAGCTCGGAGGAAGAGCAGGAGCCTGGTTTCATGCCCATCACTGGCACCTACGGGCAGAGCCGGCACGGCGAGAGCCCCACGGACGGGCGGGCCCTGCGCCGCTCCAGCCGCGGCTCCTTCACCCGCGGCAGCCTCGAGGACCTCCTCAGCCTTGACCCCGAAGCCCATCAGAGCTCCATGTGGCTGGGCACCGAGGATGGCTGGTAGGTTCCCCGGGGTGGGAATTCCTACACTGGAAGGACGCCAGTCCTGGGGGAGCCTCAAGCTTTGCTCTCCTCCTGCAGCATCCACGTGTACCAGTCCTCAGACAACATCCGGAACAGGAAGAACAGCATGAAGATGCAACACGCTGCCGCTGTCATGTGCATTCTGTAAGTGGGGAAGGGGGATTTTCAGCTCTGGGTGGGGCAGGGCAGGGGATTTTGGCCTTCTGCAGCTGGATGTCAAAGGTGGTTTGTGCCCACAGGTACCTGGATAACCAGGTTTTTGTGTCATTGGCCAACGGGGAGCTCGTTGTGTACCAGCGGGAAGCAGGTGAGGTTGGATTTGGGATGTCAAAAACGCAGCCCTAAAGTGGTGGCTTTTGGAGGATGGCTTGGGCTACCTCTGGGGAGGGATGCTCAGGGTGGCTTCCCTCCTTCCATGGAAAGGGATATCCCTGGAGGGACGCTGGAGACACCACACTGAGAGACAGGTGGAAGTGGGCGTTCTTCTGGTTCCTGCAGGCCACTGGAACCCCATGGTGGCATCAGTTTAATGTCCCCTCTGAGAGGTGACCTAGAGAAAGTTGTCTTCAGCCACCACACCTCATTGTCTGTATGGAGTTGGACTTGTTTTTGAGAATGCTTTAACTGCCCACCCCACTCTCCCCACCCTCTCAGGCCGCTTCTGGGACCCCCAGAACTCCAAGTCCCTGTCCCTGGGCTCACCGGGTTGCCCCATCACCAAGATGGTGGCGGTGGCAGGGAAGCTGTGGTGCGGCTGCCAAAACCGAGTCATGGTCCTCAACACCACCACGCTGGCACAGGAGGTACGGTGGGCGGCGGCGGGAGGGCGCGGCGGGAGGCGTGACGGGCACCAGTGGCATCACCGGTGGCATCACTGGTGGCATCTGTCCCCCCGCAGCACACGCTCCAGGTGGGGCAGGACGGCGGGCGCAGCGTCACCTGCATGGTGAGCGCGGGCAGCGGCGTGTGGGTCGCGCTGCAGGGCAGCGCCCAGGTCCGGCTGTACCATGCCACCACCTACGAGCAGCTGGCAGAGGCAGACATCACCCCCCCGGTGCACAAGATGCTCGCCGGTAAGGGACACCCGTGGTGTGTCTCCAGTGGGTGCCAGTGCCGGCTCCCGGGGGTGCCAGCGGCCCTGGAAAATGCCCTGAAGCATCCAGTGCTGGGAAATCTAGGATGCTGGGTTTGGGGAAGGAGATACAAGTTCCTTGTGCTCGTGTTAGGGAGCTGGGTAATCCCATATGGAAATAGGGCAGCCCCTGGGGAAATGGATAAATGTTGGAACAGTGCAGTAATCCCATAATCACAGAATCGTGGAATTCCCGAATGGTTTCTGTTGGAAGGGACCTTAAAGATCATCTAATTCCAGCCCCCTGCCATGGTAGGGACACCTTCCACTATCCCAGGCTGCTCCAAGCCCTATCCAGCCTGGCCTTGGACTCTTCCAGGGATCCAGTGGCAGCCACAGCTTCTCTGGGTACCCTGTGCCAGGGCCTCCCTACCCTTACAGCCAGGAATTCCTTCTCTATCCTTTCTCAGTGGAAAGCCATTCCCCTTGTCCTATCAACCCAATGCGATGCCACCAGCTGGGGAGGGGGGGTTGTGAGCTCCCTTCCCCATGTCCTGTGTGCCATAGATCCCCCTGGGAATGATCCCTGTGGGTGGGGGGTTTCCCTGTGCCGTGTGGGGCAGGACAAGGCACTGATGGCAGGGATGCCCGGCAGGCTCGGATGCCATCATCCGGCAGCACAAGGCCGCCTGCCTGCGGATCACGGCGCTGCTGGCCTGCAAGGACCTGCTGTGGATCGGGACCAGTGCCGGCGTGGTGCTCACCCTGGCGGTGTCACCCAAGGCAGCTCCCACGCTAGTGGGGCTGTCCCAGGGCCACACCGGCCACGTGCGCTTCCTCACGGCCATCGAGCTGCCCGACGGCTTTGATGTCCTCTTCCCGCTGCCCAGGGACACAGGTAGGTGGGGTGGCTGGCACATCGCAGTCGTGGCACTTTTTGGGGGCAGTGCACGGGGTTTGTGGGGCTGGGAATGCTGTTCTGGATGACCAGGAAGCGTCGGTGTCCCCGTTGCGTTCTTGCCTTCTTAAAATCCAGGGTGAAAAACTGGCAGTGGAGGACGGGGGAAACTGGGTGCTCAGCAGCCCTCTACCAGCATGGGCAACGGCAGAATTCCCAGGGAGACCCAAATTCCCACGGTGTCACCCAGCTTCGAGGCGGGGCAGGGATGGGGAGAAGGAGGAGATGGGATGGGAGCTGGCAGTTTTGAAGGGAGGAGCTAATTTGGGTTACAGGGGCCGGTTTGGGCTGGGAGGGGCGTATCGGGATGAGAGGAGGTTTTTGAGGACGGGATGCGATGCCCGGGAAAGCGGTGGAGGGTTGATGCTGAGGTGTCGCTGGTGGGATCCCTGGGGACCAGCGGAGTTGCGGTGACAGCACTGGGGGGTTCTGCGCTTGGCAGGGGCCGAGAAGCCGAGCGAGGCCGAGAAACGAGACCCGTCCCGCCCTCGTGCCCCCGCCCTGGCCCTGTCCAAGCCCAAGATGTTGGTGATCAGCGGCGGGGACGGCTACGAGGATTTCCGGCTGACCAGCAGCAGCGAGACCGTGGGCCGGGACGACAGCACCAACCACCTCCTCCTCTGGAGAGCGTGACCAGCCACCGGCCAGGAACGGGGGGTGCTGGCCCCCTGTGTGCAGAAAGGGGGTCCGGCCCCCTCCCCGCCGCCCCCCGCCCCAGCACCTCTCATCTCCAGCCCGGCTGCTCTCTGTGTGCTCGGGGTTGGGGGGGATGAGCCCCGCTCCCCCCGCCGTCCCCCCGGCCGCCGCGCTGGACTCGGGGGGGGACACGCAGCGCTTCGGGGGCCTCCGGAAGATGGGGAGGGGGCGGGGGTTTGCTTGGGAAGGCGCGGAGGAGGAGGACGATACCGAGCATCCCTGGGGACCGGCCGGAGGATGCCCGACAGCCAGGAACCTGCCTTGCTCTCCGGTTTTGTGTGTGCCTGCTTCACGGGGCGGGGGGGGCGCGGGCCTGTCACCTCCCCCGGCCCCCGGGACCCCCGGCCACTCCGCGGGACCACCCCAGGGACAATCCACCCGCGGTGTCCCCCCCGGCCCGGGCCTCCCGCTAACCCGCTCGCTCCATCGCCAGCACCCAGATAGCTCTGTTTGTTTGTTCGTTTGTTTTAAATATATATATATATTATATATATATAAACATCCTTATTTATTTGGGGGTTTGGGGAGGGGTCAGGGGCATCATCACCACTCTACCAGTCCCTCCACTCCGGAGCTGAGGGGTTAAAACTTCCCGGTTTATCGCCCCGAGGGACAGCCTGACCCCGCTGGGGCGGAGCTGGACCACGCTGGTGGAGGGGGGGACGTGATGTAGGGGAGGAGGGAAGGAAATTTGGGTTCCCCCCCTTCCTTCTCTGTGATTCCCAGTGGGATTTTGCAGCCTGGGAAGTGGGATGAAGGCGCTGCTGACGTTAGAAGCATCTCTGGATGAGAACAATCATCGCATTCCCTGCCAGCCACCAGGGCTGTCCCCCCCACCCTTACAATGGGGTGACAGTGTGGGGGACCTTAAAAATGCGACTGTGCTGGACCAACCCTCCCCATCTGCCCTTTTTCTCCCCCATTTTCCTGCTTTCACCCCAGGATCCAGGCGAGATCAGTGCTCCCAGATTGGGACACCCTGTTGTCCCCATGGGAGACGTGACAACCGTGGTGGCAGGGATGAATCAGGGTGTCCCCAGTCCCACACGGCTGGGTGAGTGACAGGAATGCTGCCATCCCACATGGAGCCATCCGTCTGTCCGTCAGCGGGGTGAGTGGGTGTGTGCTATAATTGGGATGATGAGGTTATTTTGGGAAAGGAGGTGGGGGGGGGATTTCGGTCACTTGGGGGCTCTTTGTTATTAAAGGTCACCCGTGCCAGAATGATCCCAGCGTGGTCTCGTCCTTCCCCTCGGGATGGGGTGGCAGGGACAGGGTGAGGACGGCCATGGCTCCCACCACCCACTGGTGCCACTGGGAATGTCACCCACTGGTGATTAAGACTCCAGTGGGAGGAAGAAACTGTCTCCAGCCCTGTCGTGCTGTCATTCTGTCCTGGATAACCCTGAGGGGGATATCGGGATATCCATCCCTTGTGCCGCAGAGCATCGGGACGTGGCACTCCCCGGGTGGACAAACAGTCGTCCTGGGGAAACCGAGGGGAATAAAAGGAACACCAGGCCTGACGGCAACGGGGTGTTCCCACTGTGAGAAAACTGTCCCCTAGGGAACAGGACAAGGCACGGTGTGCTGTAGGACAGGTAGGAGAGCGGGGCACAGCACTCATGGGTGTCCCGTGCCAGCCCACATGGGGAAGAAAAAAAAAAACAACCCTTTTTCTTTTTAAATTTAAACTCTTGCTGGGCAGGTCCAACCCACCCTGCTCTGGTTGTTCCCATTTTCCCTCCGAGCGGGATAAAGCCCATCCCAAATCCCTCCCCCGGCCGGGATTTGCAATTCCCGCAGTCCCCGCCGCGGCCGGGAGGTGGCGCTGCCGCGGGGAGCCGGGGGCGTGGTCTCGCCGCGTGACGTCACGGAGGGGCGGGGTTTGTGGCCGCGCGCCCGCGGGTTCATTGATAAGGAGGAGGCGGGAGCGGCGGGAGCGACGGGGCGGCCCCGGGGGGAGCCCGGGGGCTCCGCGGCGGGGACAGGTAGGGGACACCCCCGGCACGGGGACCCCCCTCTGCCCGGAGGGGTTCGGGCCATCCCCCTTTTAAAGGGCCGCTCCCCCATGCGGGGCTCTGCGGCTGGGGTTACTGCAGCTGCGGGTGGTGCGAGGAGGGGGGGTCTGGTGCTTTTTGGGGTGCTCGACCCCCGCTTTGCGCTGAAAAAGGTGGGCGGTTTTTCTGTCTCGGCTTTATCCCTAAAGGGGGCGTCGGGGGGGCTCCGCCTGGAGTGGGGTGCGCTGGGAAGAGCCCCTGCGGCTTCTGCAGCGCCGAAGTAGGTTAAAATAAAGGGTGGAGAGGAGAAAAAGTAGGTTAAGGAATACTCACCAGCAGCTGCCTGGGAAAAGAGGTAGGAGCCGTGTCGGGTCTTTTTTTTTTTTTTTTTTTTTTTCCCTCCTCCCTTTTTTATTTTTTGCCGGAGCTGGAAAATCCCAGGGCTCGGAGCCGGAGCGCAGGGGATGCTGCGGGATGCTGCGGCGCGGGGCTGCACCCCGGGACGTGCCGCTGCCGGGGCTGTGCGCCACCCCAGCGCTTCCCCGGGGATGCTTGGACTTGAACGCTGGAATTTTGTGGCGGCTCGCTCGTTCCCACTGCTCCCGTGGGGCCCGGCAGTGCGATAATACCGAGTTTCACTCCATCTGCCGGACAATCCCCTCCTTGTCCAAGGCTGTCTCCAGCAGCTGTTCCCCAAAGTTTTCCCGAACAGTTGCTCCTTTTTCCCTCCTTTTGTCTGCAGGAGCCAGCGGTGAAACCCTGTTCCCCCACGGGGAGGGGATGCCCTCGCTGGAATCCCGACGGGCAGTTTTAGGTTACAGATTCTGTTTAGGGGGGCTGGGAATAAGCGGCTCATGTGATCCGGAGGGATTTGGGGAGGTTTCCAAAACCAAGTCGCCTCCTCTGGTGCACTGGCATTGATGCACTGGTCAGGTGGGGTATGGGGCTTGGAGTGTCCCCAAAAGCAGCCGGGTCTGGTACTGTTGCAGTTATTTTTTGGTTTTCTCTGGTTCTTGGAGCAGCAAATTCTGTCGGTTTAGGAGTGTGTCAGGGCAGCTGGGCTTCCCAGCATCACCAGCTGGGGATTTGTGCCTGCATACCCCATCCCCACTTGAGATGGCCCCAAGCTGCCCCCAAAAGTGGGTGCTGAGTCCTGAGCTAAGCTCCAGTGCCAACCAGGAGCTGGCACCCGCCAGTCCCTGCACCTCCTGCATCCCTGTGGTTGCGTTTTGTTCATCTGAGGGATGCCCTTAATCCCTGGATTAAGCTTGGCCCCAAATCAGCTTTACCCCTGCTCCTGGTGGTGTTTAGATCCAGTTATCATGATGTGGAATGCTCATGGTCCTTCAGCCACATTGGGACCTTCCTGTCCCCTCCTGAGGCCATTTCTTCCCCAGCAGAGCCGGTCCCCAGACATCTCAGTGTCCCTAAGGCGCTTGAATTGCACTGCCCCAGAGAATTAAAATGCTTCACGTTAGGTTTAAACTGGAGTTTTATTGGATTATAGGGTGGAGATCTTGCACAGGCTACCACCGTGTGCCCCTTTGTGCTCGAGGGGCACATCCCACATCCCAGGGGATTCAGGAGCTGGGCTGGCTCTGGGCTGGCACCCTGCAGGAGTGCTCTTGTACTGAGAGCTACTGGAGGGAACTGGACTATGGAGGATGCTCATTTTGGGTTCTGCTCATTTTGGGTTCTGCTCATTTTGGCTGTCCCAACCCACATCCTATAAACACCCGGCTCAGCCCCGCTCATCCCCGGGACCCCCCTCACGTGTAATTAGTTGCATTTCAGCGTGGTGCTGGCCACTAATTAGGAGAAACTCGTCAGGCACGGGCTGTAATGAAGCTCTGCCAGGGCTCTCACAGGACCATGACGACCGAGGGGGAATTTCCATGCGGGCGGCAGGATTTCCATGCAGGCGGCAGGATTTCCATGCGGAGGCTGGATCCTGGTTTGGGTTATTATTTATTTTTTCCTTCCTTCCCCTGTGCTGTCAGCATAGATTTTAATTTTAACAACCAATTGCTGAGCCCAGAATGGGGGGTGGGGGGGTGGGGTGGGGTGAGACTCTGGGAAACACCTCTTGTTTTGTTCGAGTTTTTATTTATATATTTAAAATTTTTTTTTTAATTATTTCATTTCCTTGTGACAGATGCAAAAGGATTTCCTCCAGAGCAGGAAAAACCTTTCTTTTACTTTGTTTGGCATCATCTGTTCCTTGCATGAATGGTGTGACTCCACTGCTGAGGTTTTTCCCTCTCCAGTTTGGGATGGAGCTGGGATCTCCAAGGGAAGGGGTGATGCTGGGCATTCCATGAAGTCTCTAAAACTAACTTTCTGGGGGATGGTTCAGGACTGCTGCTGCAGGGATACCTTGGAGCAGCCCGGAGGGGAGAAAAAGGGTCCCCAAATTACTTCTCAAGTGGGACCTTGCCTGGATGATGACCTTGGTGTTCTCCCTTGGGCAGGTCTCCCCGGGTGATGAAGAGGAGCGGGATGCACTGGTGGCTTGTCACCATCCTGGGGGTGAGTATGGCCTCGTCTGTCCCATCTCATCCCACCCCTCTGCTTCTCCGATGCTCCAACACCATACAGGCCATGGGGATGAGTTTGCATCCGCCACGGTGCATCCAGCGAGTTCACATCCCTCACCCCACGGGAGAAGGCCGTCTCCTGGCTGCGGACAAGCGAGAGGGTGGCATGTGCCACCGGAGCCCCGGCGCTGCCGGCAGGGGCAGCGGGGGAGCCGCAGCCGGCGGCGCTGAGCGCTCCGATCCTGCCGCAGGTGCTGAGCGGACCCGCCCAGGGCGCCGGGAGCTGCAGTGGCCCGGAGCAGGGCACAGCGGGATGCCCGCCCGGAGAGGAGCCCAGCGGGGTAAGCCGGGGCGAGCCGGGCCCCGCCGTGGTGAGCCGGGGCGAGCCGGGCCCCGCCGGGGCGAGCCGGGCCCCGCCGGGGTGAGCCGGGCCCAGCGGGGTGAGCCGGGCCCGGGGAGGCTGCGGGAGCCGCGCACGGCTCACCCCCCTTTCCCCACGGCAGGATGCAGCGGGGACATGCCGGGCGTGTCCCCCCGGCACCTTCTCGCTGGGGGCCGCGTCCTGCGCCGCTCACACGCAGTGCCGGGCCGGGAACAGGGTCCTGCTGGCGGCGGGGACGGCGGCCAGCGACAGCCGCTGCGGAGCCTGCCTGCCCGGGTGAGCCCAGCCGGGGACGCCGAGCCCCAGCCCTGCCCCGCCTCGGGGGCCGTGTCCTGACCCTCCCCTCCCGCCCCGCAGGTTTCACAGCCCCGGAGGGGACAGGGAGCCCCGGGGACGGTGCCTGCCCTGCGCCGCTGCTCCCCGCGGCACCCCGGGGTGCCCAGGTGGGTGCTGGAGCCGGAGGTGTCACCCCAGGGCCGCGGGAGATGCGGGAGCTTTGCCGGCCCTCGGCCCGGGGACGTCACGGGGTGTGTCGCCCTTGGGATTTGGCAGCTGAGGACAGCTCTGCTCACGACACAGGCGGCTTCTGCTTCCCTGGGTCCAGCCCTGCTGCGGGGCTCCTGGGGAAACGGGGTTTAATCCCCACAAAGTCCCTCCCTGAAGCTGATCCGTGCCTCCCTGCAGGGCGGCGGCGAGCCCGCAGCCCCGAAATGCCGGGCCGGGCACCGGGAACCAACGGGACACGCGTGACCCTGCTGGGTGAGGAAGAGGAGGAGGCGGCAGCAGCACAGGCAGCCGTACTGACCATCGTCCCGGTCTTCTGTGCCATGGGATTGTTGGGAATCCTGGTCTGCAACCTGCTGAAGAAGAAGGGTTATCACTGCACTGCCAGCAAGGAGCCCCAGCTCAGCGGCACCGGTGAGCCCTGGTTGTGCCATGGCACCTTTGGTGATCCCACATCCATTGCTCAGCCCATTCCTGTAGTTTCTGGTTCTCCTTGTCCCAGGGCATCCTGGGTTGCCTCATCCCCCATGACCAAGTTTTCCCTGACTTCCTGATTTCTCCTTCCAGGTGCCAGCTCCATCTACCAGCTGGAGGATGCCAACGAGGACACCATCGGGGTTCTGGTGCGGCTGATCACCGAGAAGAAAGGTCAGGGGGTCCCCAGGAAGGGGGAGGAGGGGGCGACCTGGGCCAGAGCCCTGTGACCCCCAGCCCCTTGGTGTCCTCCCACACACAGAAAATGCAGCAGCACTGGAGGAGCTGCTGAAGGAGCACCAGAGGCAGCAGCTGATGCCACCGAGCTATGCCCCCCTCAATAAGTAAGAGTCCCCTAAGGCTGCACTGAGGGCTCCTCATGGTGGGACCACCCCCACGCTGATGGCATTTCCCCCCTCCCCAGGCTGCACCTCCTGCCTCAGTTTCCTGCCGCCTGCCACCACCAGCAGCACCTGCACACGGTGCAGGGACCGGCCCCCTGTGCCCGCTGCAGCCAGAAGTGGCCCGAGGTGCTGCCATCACTCAGTGCCACCAAAGTCCCCAAGCCCGGGGCTCATCCCAGCGAGGTGACCATCCTCTCTATCGGCAGGTAAGCAGGGACAGCCCCCCGGTGTGTGTCCCCTCTGCGAGGGGGGGGACAGGCTGATGTGCTGCTCCCCAACAGGTTTCGGGTGTCCCGGATCCCTGAGGTGAGGAGCGATGCAGGGGGGGAGCCCCTCCGTGGTCCCCTCCCCGCCGGCAGCGGGATGTGACCCCGTGACGGAACAGCACCAAGGGCCCCCACGAGGTGAGGGGGTGGTGGGCAGCCCTGGGGTGCTCCCCGGACAGAGGGGTTCTGGAGGCTGGGAAATGGAGCATTAACGCCGTAGGGACACGGTGTGGGAACAGCTAGGCAGGAGGGAGGGGTGTCCCTCGCTGCAGGGCGCTGGCAGGGCCTGGCACTGGGTGGCACGGCCGGGGGCTGCTGCGTGACTCATGGGCAGCTGCACGGGCTCACATGCCCTCGCTCACGTCCCCGTGTCCCCTCCTCCAGCAGCGCTGCTGCTGTGACCAGCCAGCTCTGGGCTCCTCCCGACACGGACATGGAGGGGCTGGAGTGTGGCCAGGGAAGGGAACGGAGCTGGGAAAGGGCTGGAGCCCCAGGAGAGGCTGAGGGAGCTGGAAAGGGGCTCAGCCCAGAGAAAAGGAGGCTCAGGGGGGACCTTGTGGCTCTGCTCCCAGGAACAGGGACAGGACAAGAGGAAACAGCCTCAACAAACTGTGCCAGGGAGGTTTGGGTTGGGTAGTGACAGCAATGGATGGGTGACACTGAGTGGCTCCTGCCACCCTGGGTGATGCAAACGGGCCAATCCAGGCTCACCTGTGGTCCATCTCTTGTTCTCCACAGCAGGCACCTGGCCTGGGGGCTGCCTCGGGGGTCAGTGACACCCAGAAAGGCCCCATGGAGGACACTGGGCATTGTGTGAAAGCCAGTCCCGCTCAGAGCTGCGAAGTGCTGGAGGTGGCAGCTCAGCTTCTGCTCCTGCCACCAAGGTGTCCAAGAGCAGCACAGCAAATCCAGCGTCTCGCTTAGCTGGTGAAGAGGATTCTGTCTCTGAGGCCTGATGGTGGCCATGGCGTGGTGGCCTCAGTCCAGGAGCTGCGATGCTGGTGGTGATGGCCACACGAATCATCATCTCTGGGAACCATGATGCAGCAACACAGCTCCACTGGAAGCACAGAGGACACTGGATACCATTTCATGGTCACCTTCTGGGTCTGTTTAACTCTCCAGGACCATCATGAACTCCTGATTTCCCTCCATCACCTGGTGCCAGCCCTCAGCATTGCAGGATAATGAATGACTGGATCAGGATCACAGAGTGACTCCTCCCTTCCCAACAGCCCAGCTGGGGCATGGATTGCTCTGAGCAAAGCTGGTCTCCTGCATCCATCCACCCTCTCTCCAAAGTGTCAGTTCAGGAGCACATGGTGGTGATGCTCACCATGCAGATGACACATTTCACTTTCTGTAGGAATTGCTTCAATGGGATCACGCTGGCTTGGCCATGTTGGGATCACTGGGATAACCCACCTGAGGTTGGGTTGGAGACCATCAACCCAAAAAAGGGTTCATGGCTGGTCCCATTCACCTCTCCACGACATCACTGTGCCAAAAAACCAACCACCAAACCCTCTCGGGCTCTTTTATTTATTTATTTAATTTTTTGGGAAACATTTTAATAGTTATCGAATGTTCTACATCTTACAGTAAATATCGTACAGTTACAAACTCTTGGCTGAAATCTGTCAGGGAGATCACAACTTGATCTTCAGAACCAAAACCAGAACAGAAAACAAACGGGAAAACAATCCCAAATTTACACTTCAGATGGACAAAATGAGGCTGTGGGGCTCTCCAGGGCATCAGTCCAAAGCCATGTTCCCTACACACCTGTGAGATGTAGACTTGGAAGACATGGTTACTCTTGGGTTAAAATTTTTTTTTGTTGTTCTTTCAGGGAATTTCATTTGGTATTTATTTTTATTTAAGAGATCCAATAATACTTAAAACCAAGCTGGTCTGGTGGTCGAAATAAATTTAAAATTAATTACACAGAAAGAGAGGGGTGGAGCCTGGTGTGGGTTGAGGCCATGTTGTGGGAATGGGAGGGTTTGGGTGTGATCCTGCACCTTCCCATGCTTCCCTACAAATCCCTCCCCTGATCCTGGACCCCTTTCCCCCTGGAAAATTCCATCTCCCAGCTCTATCTCTTGCAGGAGGATGCAGGGAGGCTGCAGGTGGCCATGTTGCATCAAGATTATTCCCTACAAACAGCACAATCGAGCGTTTCCAAATGGGAATTGCTCCTGTTAAACCACAGTATTTTGCTATTCCTGCCCTGCAAACATTCCCACAAGTTCTTTCACCTAGATTCCCAGAGAATCTCCAAGTGCCATGGTGCAACATGCCACCTTTTCCAAGATTTCCTCCCTCTCAAGCTCCATCACAGGCTTTATTTTCCTTTTTTTTTTCCCCAAGGGAAATGCTAACACACAGCAGAGAAAATATTTGGAGGCTGATCCTGGCTCAGGAGCAAAGCAAAGGGAAGATGGGCAGAGGGTCACTACAGTTGGAGGGCCTGAAAATATTGGCAATTAAAAAAAAAAAACTCAAACCAAAACCACCTGGATTTATGAGTATCCAGCAGCTCTTATTGCTATTGTTGGCTGGTTGGATTTTACCAAAAATAAAGCCTCAAATGTTGTTTTCCACCAGGCTAAAAAACCAGGATCCTATTTCATGCCTTCTATCTGGGAACCACATAATCCCCACATTCCTAGAGGGGATGGCAAAGAGTGAGGGGGGGTCTCTCTGGGAAGGACCAGATTCAGTGGGATGCTGGTGGCTGGAGGAAAATCTGATGCTCTGGACATCCCTCATTACAACAAACCCCTTAAATAACATTTCCTGGGAATTACATCCCAAAACTGCAACAATGATGAACTGTGTGATTTATTATTCATAAAATACAGTAACAAATCCTTGCCTGGAGGGTTCAGCCACTTGGAGGCATTGATGGCCTCAGGCTTCAAGGGGCTCCTGGGGTTTGAGGGTCACCACCACCACTAAAATCCTATTTTCCCCCCAAATCTTGCATCGCAGCTTGTGTTTTGAAGTAAAGGTAAGGTCTGGGCTGGTTCAGAGTTATTTTTCCTTCCTCTTTAGCTGGAATTTTAATCTCAGACAATTCAGTGGCTGCTAAGGATGATTTAACCCCTTCTGCTCTTTCCCACTGATGCCCCATGTGATCCTTCACTGTGGAAAACCCTTTTCCTTACCCAACATCTGCAAAGCTTTGCTGAACTAAATATTTGAGAAGCTGGTGGCCCCCATCAGCGTCCCCCACTGTGACCTTCCCAAGACTCTCAGTTAAGCTATGACTTGACCAAAGGAAAGACTTGGGATCAAGGGAGGGGCAGGGAACATCTTCCCACCACCGCAGCCCCACCTTGGGAAGGAACTACCCAAGGCTGGCACCATGTGGTGGCCCTGGTTCCACCCAGTGGCTCAAGGCTGGTTACCCAATGTCTTCACTAAAGGCTCTGGCCCAACAGATGGCAAATATTTCCCCTCTCCACACCTTGGTAAATGATTATTTCTGCCTGGGAATAATGGGATAAGGAGCACTGGATCTGCTATTGATCCAAGCAAAGGAATTAAAACCCAGCTGCCCCATGTCAGGTCTCATCAGGGGGAACACTGGGTGTTCCACCACAATCAGCTCCTGGGGCTTTCTCCCTCCCCTTTAATGTTTCTTTTCCTTCCAGGAGAAAGCCCAACACATCTCTTTTCCACATGTGGGCCAAAATTTTAGGAGTGGCTCCTAAAGCGGTGCAGGGTGTCTGGGAGAGTGGTGGGATGGTGTCTGCTGGGAAAGGTGGTTTGCAGAGCCCGGGCTGGGATCCCAAAGCTCACTGGACCCCACAAACCAGAGCCCATTAAGTTGGGAGACCTGACTCAATGCTGACAGCCAGCTCCTGGTATGTAACATGAAGTCAACATGAGAGGGGAAAAAAGGGGATCTCAGAACTCTTCAGTTCTTAGGATCTGGGGATTTTTTTGGCCTAGGTTTAACTAAAGTGTGCTACAAACAGTGGAAGGATGATGTGTTGGTGTTACTTCCCAAGGTTCTGTTGCTCTTTACTAATCCTTGGCTTTGCCAAGCCAAATGAGGAACCCACTGATTATTGGCTCTTTTTCCTTTTTTCCTTCTCTTTTCCCTCAATATGAACCCAAAGTGCAGCCCAAGGGTGCCCCTTCCCCACCCCACAGCACTGGTGTCCCCCCCACAGCACAGTCTTCCCCTACTTTGTTCCTCCTTAGGCTGAGGAGGCTGAGGAGTACAATCTAGCTTTGCTCTAGATTGTCCTCAGAATCAAGACCAGCAGAATCAACCAAATGATCCCCCAAACAGAAGTGCCAACACCAACACCCAACCTGACAAACCTCCTGGGACCAACCAGTGGGAGGGAAAGTCCTTGGATCCCTAGGATTGTTACTCCCCACCTGGCCCATGCTCAAGGGAAGGAGCTCCAGGAGCAGAAGCCAAGCTGGGAGACTCCACCGAGAGCATGGCACACTTTTGGCACACTTGAGGCAAAAATCAAAACCCAACCAAGCTTTTGTCTTTAAAAAAACCAATACAATTCCAAAAACCTTGTTTCTAAGCTGGGTTTAGTGACAAGGATATAAAACAAACTGGCTGCAAGCATTGTCTGCATATCCAAACTGCCTCTGCTGCCCTCAAGACAACTTATTGCTCTGCTTGGACACCCCGAGGGGGGATGTCACCAGCTTCCTGTCCCCATGTCCCCGGGTAAGCTAAACCCCCCCAAAATGACCCTGATGCCCACAGCCTTTGCGTGTCCGGTGTCCCCCATCCTGGTCCATGCCAACTGTGGATCACCTTCCCTTCTGTCACCTCTTCTCAGGTGCCTTCCCGTGAAGGAGGCGGCGTGTTTATTGCTATTGCTTCCTCCTCTCCCACTTCTCCAAGCAGAGCAGCCAGACATCATCCCCCTCCTGGCCTTTCTCCATGGTGCTGGTATTTGTGCTTGGATAAACATTCCTCCTGGAAGGCTCGGAGCTGTAACCCAAAGAATGGGAGGGGGATACCTCAACAGCCGAGGAGGGCGTGCAGTCTGGTCTCAGCCCTGCCAACACCATGGGTGCAAGCTCAAGCACCCATCTTCCCTCACCCTGCCTTGAAGACTCATCTCCATCATCCTGACACCCTCTTTTCCCACACCACCATACCCTGGAGAAGCTCTTCAGACCAAACCGTGAACCTGGAGGAGCTCCTCAGACCAAACCCTAAACCTGGAGAAGCTCTCCAGCCCAACCTTTGGACACCTTGCTTCCCTCAGCAGCTGCCCAGCACATCTCTGCCTGCAAACAGCAGCCACGCAGGGAAGGAGCCGCCTTCTCCCTCACACTGCCCCAGGACGTGGCTGAGGGGGAGCATCCCGTTTTCCCAAGGGGTTCAACATGCTCCCAGGGCACGCAGTATTCCCACTGCTCCCTTCCCATCACCCACAATCCGTTTGCCCAGTTGGAAAAAGCAGACCAAAGACCCGCTGGTGACCAGTCCTCGTGCTTCCTAAGACAAGTGTGTTACATCGCTAATTATATTTATATTCTCTTACTCCTACAAAAAGAAGGGATGAGTTCAGAATTCCACTGCAGATAATGCATTTATAATCTATCACGACAGCTATCTGGAAGACACCAATTTTCTTGTAATATGTTATGAAAGATTGAATAATTTATATTCTTCAACTAAAAATACCCAAACCAAATCGGAATAAGCCTGCCTACCAGTGCTGTGCTTTTCACATAGTACCCTGAACATCAACCACTCTTACTAGCCAAAAAAAATCTAGGCTCTTGTCAACAACAACGACAACAGAAAAATAACAAAAAGAACCCAAACGAACAAGAAGTGGGGGGGATCTTTGCACCACTCAGCTGGGCAATGCTGGAAAAGTGAAGATTCTGAGCTTTCAAATGATAGGACCGAAGAGAGAACTTGACTATTGCTCAGTGTCAGTATGTGTGTTACACAATTCTTGTGGGAGGGGGAGGAAGGGGGGAAAAAAAGAGGCAGAAGATTAGAAAAAGCAGCTTTTACAAAAACCACTAAAGAATGCATAAAGTGACCCTTGCACTTTTTTTTTTTCTTTTGTTCTTGCAAACAGACGAGGTGCTGCAGCCCAGCAGCCGCAGCACCGATGTAAGACTTGTGTAGTTGCATACAATGTTTGACTCTGGATCTGGAAGAGAGCAAATACATTAAAAACAGGGAGTTAGAAGGATGCTCTCCTCCTCTCTGCACCCCTGCACCACGTGGAGCTGATCCATATGGAATTTAACCTTCCCTGTGGGCAATTTGTCAGGCAAGGGAGCTGGGAAAGCAGCAGCTCGCTGGTGGTATCCAAAGCAGAGGATTACAAATATGCAGATGGGCTGCTCCCTGCTAATTGCACACCAATTTGGGAGGGGCAGGATTAGCCCGGCGTAATTGGTGTGGCACAGAGAGGTTTTAGATAACCCCGGGGCTGGATGGGATGTTGCCATCAGCTGCCTGTCCTGGTAATTGGGCATGATGGGCCAAGGGCTGCGGGAACAAGCAGCTGGGATTTCTGGGATCCCGAGCATGACAGGAACACACAGGCAGTTGCAGGCAACCCCGGTGCTAATGAACAGCGTGGTCTCCCAGCAGGGGAAAAGAAATATTCCAGTGACATAAAGATGGGGAGGGACTCTTTGTGGAATGCAGTGATAATGGTTTCAAACTGCCAGAGGGCAGGGTTAGATGGGATATTGGGAAGGAATTCCTCCCTATGAGGGCAGGCCTTGGCACAGGGTGCCCAGACAAGTCCCATCCCTGGAAGCACCCAAGGTCAGGCTGGATGGGGTTTGGAGGCTCACTCAGAGCGAGAGGCAGCACTCACATGGATTGGCCAGTGGTTTACCAGTGTGGAGGTACATAGCTGTAGGTGGGGGTTCCTTGA